CCCAGGCTGGCCTCGAACTCACAGAGATCCGCCTGCCTCTGCCTCCCGAGTGCTGGGATTAAAGGCGTGCGCCACCACCGCCCGGCCGTCTGTCTAATTTTTAGGTCCTACTTTATTTTATTCTGTTTGTAATTCCTTCTCTGCAGTAGAGTATTCTGGAAACGTGGCACCTGAAAAGCAAAGCTTAGTCAATCTTACTGTCTGGGCAGTAAATTCAGATTTCTTTTTCCTGACGTTGATATGAAGAGCTGGGTTGGCAGCGTGGGTGGGGGAAGGGCTGGTGAGGTCCCATCCCTTAGCTGAGGAGCAGCTGTAAATTGGTGGCTTCTGGAGAAGGGTCAGTTTTCTTCAGGAAAGAGCCCCTGAGAATCCAGCCACCCATGCTCCAGTAGATGGTCCCACCCCCACGCACGTACGGGCAGCACTAAGTGGGTCCAGTGGCTTTCAACACAGAGCCCATGAAGCTGAGAGGTGGAAGCGATGATGGAATGGCAGGTGAAGAACCGGGAAGAGGAGAACGAAGGTGAATTTGATCAAAACACATTATGTGCACACATGAAATTCTTCAGCAATAACTAAAACAATAAAAGTAATTTAAAAAAAAGAACTGGGCTGGTCATAGTGGAGGGAAGATCACTATAGGAAACTGTGCCCGTTGTTGTCCGCAAAGCAATTCTTATTTAACTTTAGAGGGTTTGAGTCACTGTTTCTTACACTTCAGACGTTAACCCAGTTTCTTGGATGGTCTCTTTTAAACACTGATACCTATGAGAGAGTGAATAAACTGGAAAGCAGGAAGGACCTTGCTCAGGAAATGATCATGAGCCGCACAAAAGCCACCTCCGATGAAATCGGGTCTATTTTGGTAAGTGGGGAATCCAGTCCTGTGGACAATGGCATTTCACCTCAACTTCTGGAAATCACCTAATGACTGGGAAGTCAGCCGGATGAGAAGAGGCTTAGTTCTGAGATAAGGAGAGGGAGACACAGTGAGGTGTGAGGAGGAGCTCAGTCAGCCCGTGAGCTAGCCTTCCTGGAAGTCCAGACTGCAGTGTTCCAGTAGCACTCTGTGGGTGTGTGGGAGCCAAAGCAGCAACATCTAGATTCAAGTATACTAGTGAGGAATCAAGGTTTTGAAGAAGAGCAATGTATCAGTCAGCTATTATCCTCTAGTGCTGTGTAACAAACGGTGTACCATCTCAGTGACCTACATTATTATCTATGTTTTATGTACACAGCTGTGGGTTAAGCAGGCTCTGACTGACCTTGATGACCAAGCTGTGAGTCTGGTTTGCTCTATGGCCTCTCATCTTCTGTGGACCAGCAGCAACCTGGTGACTTAAAGTCTTTGCTCACATGGTGGTCTCTAAAAGTCTCACTGACTAAACATGATCAAGTCCAATATCTTCTGATGAGGGAGCCAGTGGATTTTTGCTGACAATGTTCTAATTACCACAAAATAAGGGAACCACATCACATAATCGCTTTTTTTTTTTTTATTTTGGTTTTTGGTTTTTCAAAGCAGAGGTTCTCTGTGTAGCCCAGGATGTTCTGGAACTCACTCTGTAGACCAGGCTGGCCTCAAACTCCCAGAGATCCACCTGTCTCTGCCTCTGAGTGCTAGGATTAAAGGTGTGCACCACCGCCACCTAACTGCATAATCACTTTAAAAATTTTTATTTATTCTTATTTTATGTACATTAGTGCTTTGCCTGCATGTATGTCTGTGTCAGGGTGTCAAATCTTGGAGTTACAGACAGTTGTTAGCTGTCATATGGGTGCTGGGAATTGAACCTGGATCTTCTGGAAAAGAAGTCAGTGCTCTTAACCACTGAGCCATCTCTCCAGGCCCCACATAATGACTTTCATTTTTGCTTTTTTCCTAGTTATCTTTTTTTTGAGTGTGTATATAGCTATAATGTGGTGTGGGGCATTGGCTTTGTTTTGCTGGAGTTAAAAGATATTTGACTAAAGTACTGAGATGATAAGGATGAGAACATGCGCATGGATCACGTGAAACTGCTATTGGCAGCTGAAAAAAGAGACGTAAACCACTCTGTTTCCTTCTTTCCTTTCCTGCCTACCTGTAGCCCACAGCTTAGTTTTAAGACGGTTACAGCTGCGTTTTGGAAAAGGAGAGAACTCAATCGTATTAGGTTATTGGTCTAATTCTTCCTAATCACTTGCTGTAAGGCTCTTCCCATACAGAAGGTCTTTATATGTAACAGATGTGTAGCCTATTTTAACTGTATCTTAACTGGTTTTGATAGTAGAGGGATCAGATAGAAATCTTTGTAGGAATTCCACACTTTGATTGCTTTTCCATTTTAGAAATTCAAAGAGAAGTTACATGTGAATGCAATTGAAGAGTGTGATGAGAGACAGCTCCTGGCCCTATTGGTAAGTGTTTTCCTCTGATCCCCGTGTTCTTTCTGTAGAGTCTCTTTGGGCACACATTCTCATTTCTCAAGTAAATGTTGAGTTTCCTCAAATGTCTTCCTTGACATTTTCCAACACTGAAAAGAAAGACTTCTCCTAAAGACCCATCCTTTGGTTTCCTGCTTTTCTCCATCATTGTTCAACACACTTCAATCCACAGAGATCATTTAAAACTGTAACTAAACCAGATGACTACAGGAGGCACCTCAGGATCTAGGGAGACCGTGGCTAGGTTTATCTTAGTAGCTTCAGGTTACAGCATAGCCAGAGGCCATGCCAGGGTGGCAGACCCCAGCCCTTCTCAGGGCAGTGACCATGGTGGGAGAGAGCATCGGGAGGGAGGGGTGGACAGGAGCTGTGAGGTCTACCCCACGCCTGCAGGGGAACTCGGTTCAGGGACTGTTGGCTGAGGTCACGTGGTGCCCTCAACACTGTGCTGATGACACACAGAAACACAGAAAAGCAGGTCACTTCCTTCCATGGGTTGAACGTTCCCCGAGATCCATTCACATACATTTCAACACCCAATGCCAGATGCCTGCTTTTAGCAACACTGTAGTTTTTCAGGTGCCTGGGTTGCCCTCTCTTGCTCTGTTCCTTTCTGATTCCCAGGGACCTCCTGTATCCCCTCATCTGTGTTCACTATCACCTCTCTCTGACTTGTCTCCCACCGAGGCAAGTCCTCTCTCCTCTCTCCATCCCCTCTTATGTTCCTTCCCTTCCTCCTTCTAGCAGCTCAGTCTCAGAGACTTCAGAATCTCGCCTCATTTGATTAGTGTTGTTTATCACCACAGCACTGAGTATGTGGTGCCCTGTTCTCTAAGAATCCTGAGCTCTTGCCCTTCATTGGTCTGCATTTGATAAGCATCTCACTAATCTAAATTCCTTATTTAAAAGATTCATTTTTTTTAACCTCCCGAGTCACAGTCATGACCATGTTCTTCATTACCCTTCCCCTCCCCCACATATTCCTAACTCTTTTGTGGTGGGTTTAAAATCAAAAATGTCTACTATAGAAAGAAAAGAGTCCCTGGGATTGGGTTGGAGTCAAACCCACTTAGAAAAATTTTAAGCATGCCTCTATATTGAGATTCGACTGGTTATCAGCCTCTGGTCACTGTAACTGAGCTGGTACAAGGAAGAAGGGTGGGAACAATGGAGGGGATGGAGGGAGAGAGGGAGAAAGAGGAGCCCCTGCCCTGGGGGAGAGAAAGCACCAAGAGGCAGGACTTGGCTGTGTGGTTCAGGGACTTGTTTGTGGGTTTCTTTTATCATCGCATCTCTTGCTAATTAATTGATAAACTAATTGTGTGGGGGTAGATGGGGGTGAGGGCTGGATCATGAACCATGGCGCACAGGTGGGGTCAGAGACTAACTCCTGGAGTCGGTTCTCTCCTTACCACGCAGATTCCAGGGACTGAACTCAGGTCATCAGGCCTGGGGGCAAATGCCTTGAGCTGCTGAGCCATCTCCGCAGGCCCCCCCCCGCCCCCCCGCCCCTGTTAACCCTTTACTGTCGATATTGAGTGTGCGGCATAAAGAAAGGCCATCAGCCGAATGTAACCTGAACTGATCTGTCCTTTCAACAGAAGGAGGACTTGCCGGACCCGAGCGCAGCAGACCTGTATGAGTTCTGTTTCAGCGACTTCCCGGTTACAGAGCACGAGCTGGTTAAATGCGGGCTGCGGCTGTTCTTTGAGATAAATGCGGTGGAGAAATTCAAAGTGCCAGTAGAGGTCAGGAGGCGTTTTGCTTGAAACGCGGTTTGATTCTGTTGCGGTGCCTCACTGATGTTTTCTACAGTTCCAAAGATTAGCTCAAGTTAGGATTTCAAATTATCATTAACTTTGAGAATGCACCGGCTTAATCTCTGTCAACAGGACCAATGCACCTCTTTAGATAAGCAAGCCCCAGGCCTCCTACCCTTTAGAATTCTGTTCTAAAGTCTGAACAGTGTTGTTGCCTTTGGGTAACAGGTTCTTACGAGGTGGATGTACACAGTGCGGAAAGGGTACCGCCCTGTCACCTACCACAACTGGCGGCACGGATTCAATGTGGGGCAGACCATGTTCACCTTGCTGATGGTAGGTACCGATGCTGGAAGCCACGGAGAGGGTTTGCAACTCTGAATAGTTCCCACTTGAGAGATGAGGAGAAGTGGCTATGGCTTGTGTCAGAGCTATCATCTGACATTCATGGACAGGATCCCACAGACGCATACCCTTCTGTGGCTGCTGCCAGAGATGCGGGTCTCCCTGGGCACTCGGCTAGATCACCGACCAGAAATTCACATGCTTACCATGTTAAAGGAATATCCAGATATGTCCTAGGTTTTGAAACTGCCTGGGATGACACAAGGCTCACTAAATACAAAACTAATCTTTGGTGGAAACATGGTGAGCCATCCCCACCCCACCCCAGGCCCTGGGCCCGGGCACCTCCCTCGCAGTAAGACTGGGCTGTGCTGGGTATAAGATGTATTGACCTCTATAAATGTGTACTCACCCGTCTTTCTAGACAGGGAGACTAAAGAAATACTACACAGACCTTGAAGCGTTTGCCATGCTCGCTGCTGCGTTCTGCCACGACATCGACCACCGAGGCACCAATAATCTGTACCAAATGAAGTAAGTGAACGTGTGCACTGTGGTGGCCTGTGCTGAGGGATGCTAGAAGATGCCTGGGGAGGAAGACAGATCTCCCCTGTCCTCCACGATCCACAGTCCAGCCACTTCCTCCACCTCATTTATGGTGTCAGGACTATTCTCTCCCTCCTGAGCTATCCTGATGTAGCATATGCTCTCTTCCCATAGTGCTCGCCTGCCTCATTCCCTTCTGCTTCCACTTCTGAGGTCCCCCAGCTTTGTAACTTTAATCAGAGTATTGAAGTCACACATTAATCTTAGGCTTACACTAGTGTATGCCCAGGGAACACTCCCCTGCTCAGGCTAAAAAACGTGTCATTTGGGGCTTGCAATTCTTCACTTCCTGGCCCTTTGGTTCTGCCATGCCCCATCTCAGCTGCTCTTCCAGCTCAGCATCATGTCATCTCCTTCTCTGGTCCCGAGGAAGGAAGTGTGTAGATGTAATCAACCGTCTTATTAAGTAAGAAACACAGAACCAGTGCAAAGAAGAAAGCCGAGAGATCACGATGCAGGTGCAGACTCATGTCAGACAGATTTAGATTTACCAGCCATCTACTTTCTAAGCCTCGATTTCCTTGTCTGGACAATAGGAATCATAATAATGATGTGCAGCTGCAAAGATTAGATAGAATTCTGCATACAAAATCCTCACACACATATCACCCTCAGTTCTAACACATGGCCCACCATCCTCCAGCGGTAGTGAAGTGTTCCAGGGATGATAGACTTTGGTGTGTGGGTTTAGGGGATCCAACTACTTCCTGGTTGAAAAACCTTAGGCAACTCACTTATTTGGAGACTCAGTTTCTTAACTTGAAAATGGGTATAACATTGCCCTGTCAAAGATGGTTGTGGGAGTCAAGTGAGATTACTTCTATGAAACCTGTGTGCCAGGGACTTCAGATAAAGGCACTCTGTGAATGAAAAGCACATTCTGAACAGTCTTTTCCCACTTTGAACAGCTGTGCTATCAACCTTCATCTTGAAAGAAACATCGCCACTAAAGCTCTTTCCCAGGACATCACCATCATTATGTCCTCACTAAGGCAAGAGTCCTGGGGGAATCAATGGAGTCCTCTCATTCTGCTCCAAAGAAACTAAGACTTACTGGGCATCTCTTTTTCACTTACTTTTCTTTCTTTTGTTCTTTCTTTCTTTCTTTTTCCAAGATAGTGTTGCTATATAAAGCTAACCTCAACCTTATCCTCTTCCCACCTCAGTTGGGATTGCATTTGTGAACTGCCATGTCTGGTGTGTTGAACACCTCCTGTGTGCTGGAGGCTGATCTAAGCACGTGGTAGCCTTGTCTCATTTTACCTCCCACTGCCTCACGTTATCCCCCTCTCTCACGGATGAGTTAACAGACTCAGAAAGATGAAATCAGACTTGTCTTTGGTTATTGTCAGCAGCAGAGCTGGATGAGGCACCTTCTTGCCTGTGGGCTTTCAGGAAGGATGGAGACACATCCCGGACCTCACATTGGCCTGGTAACTACTCTGTCGGTCTTTTGCAGCCATTGCTCTTCTGGGAATTTGACAGAAGGAATGTGTGGTGACAGAAGGGTTTCTTGACATCAGGCTGGGGTCAGCCCATCTTTTTCATCCTCGGCACAGGTTGAGCCCTCTGGCAGTTCCACTGTTCCTGGAATCAAATGCAGTCTCAAACTGCCCTTCAAAAAACCAAGACAACAACAACAAAAATCCGCAGTGAGCCCCTTTAAATTCTCCTGATGCATTGGAAGAATTGCTCAGGATTCCTCAAAGATTCTGCTCCATTGGCAAATGCAGCCACTGCGAAGGTTGTCTAAGACCGAATTGTTCTTCTCACTCTGATGGTAGCAGGAAGATCCCCTGCAGAGTGAACAGAGGCTGTTGGGACACAGGGGGCACTTCCTGGCTTGACCCTGCACCTCCGGTCTTATCACTTGCCTCCAGGATGTCTGACCCCCTTATCTCTCAGACTCTGCCCTCTGACAGCCCCCGAGAGCTCCCAGCTTCACGTTTTTGATGATTCCACCAAGTTCCTGTGTACTCTTTGCTCACTTCATTTTCCCAGCCAGTTGGTTTGTTTTATCCTGTCCATGTTTGTAGACTCCTTTCCTCTCTCGCTCCCTTTGCTCTCTTATTTCTTAATTCTCTGATATTTCTGTCTCCTTGGACAAATGCAGCAACTATCAAAACATATTAAGAATTATAGATTTCCCTTTCATTTCCCCCCGTACATCTTCCTGTGTTTTGCAGTCTGCACTGATTATTTTCCATAATGGAGGATCCATCTGCTCACAAGGCAGAGCCTTCCTCTGTTCTGGTGTGAGTCTAACAACAGACTGTTATCTTTGATATTGAACTAAAATTGGTCTTCCTATACATAATTTCTATTTCTCCTAGTTTGGGCCTCTGGACCTATAGGAATAAGTATGGTTTCTCACCCATTGTCCCTCCTTCATGTATTAAAAAAAAATATAACATCTTTCTTACCAAACTATTTCCTTTTCACTGAACACACTAATGTTTTGAACACTTTGAGGGGTTTGCCTAGTAGGAACAGGGTCTTGCTATATAGTACAAGCAGACTCAAACTCATGGTCCTCCTGCCTCAGCTTCCTTCATGCTGGGATTATAGGCATGTACCACACCACCCAGCTTGAGCTGCTCTTTAAACAACAGTTCCCTCCGAATAGTTTTGTTTATAATGATTCTCTGCATTTTAGCATTTTCATGTCATTTCAAAACTGTGGATCCCCAAATTTGGCATGGTAATCTAGACATGCCTTGAAGTACTTTATATTTAATCCTACTGAAATTTCATCTCCTGAAAGTTAGAGTTCTGCAAAACTGTTAAAATTACATTTATTGATTTGTGTGTGTGTGTGTGTGTGTGTGTGTGTGTGTGTGTTGCACCACAGCGCATATTTGGAGGTCAGAAGACAGCTTTTGGGAGCCATTTCTCTCTTTCTGCCCTGTGGGTCCTGTGGTATCAAACTCAGGCTTGGTGGCAGGTACCTTGACCCACTGAACCATCTTACCAGCCCAATTAATTCCTTAACCTACTGTGGGACTCCCAACAATAGGAGTGTGTGTGTGTGTGTGTGTGTGTGTGTGTGTGTGTGTGTGTGTGTGTGTGTGTCTGTGTGTTGGTGGTGGTGGGTAGGGTGTCTCTGACTCTTTTGCCTGCACTTGGGACCCTTTTCCTCTTACTGGGTTGCTCTATCCAGCTGAGATATGAGGGT